TGTTATAGAGGGGCTAAAATCTGGCCTTGGCAGGTTGTCATCGCTATGCCGTTCACATCTTAGGAGGGTAGAGCCACGCTAACAGATCATGACACAGTGGGATGAATGTTTTCCTGTTCGATTTTATGCCTGGTGGGGCTGAAGTCAGAAAACATTTTGCTCAGCAGGATGTGATGCAGGCTTGAAGAATAGAATGACATGCATACACCACATACTTAATTATGTCCTGTAACATTACCATGCTCAAGTTTTACATGAGAAACTGCTAATTATTAATTAACTGGATTATTTTTCTTACCCTATAGTCTATTGTTACATGTCCAGCACTGTAAAGGGTCCTTTTGCTGATAACCAATAAAGATTTAAATAGCTATTGCTTTACATCACATAATTAACATTCTCAGTGTGTCAACGGCAAGACAGCAAATTGTTATTTACCTCAACGTGTTGGCAACCCTGCTGAGCAGGTCGTACTGTAGCTCTGTGAATCATGTCAGTTTCATGATTGATGACTGAGAGCAAAAATGGAGTCAATTAGAAAACAGCCATGGCCTTATGTAAATGCTGAGCTCCATCAGTTGATTTTAAAGGATGTACATGTTATATTTATGCTGAACCTAAGAGTTTGTATGTATAAAAGTAACAAATAAAACAATAAAAATCTGACCAATTTTAAGAACAATGAATAATAAGATTGTTCTTTAAAATAAAAACACACAACTTCCTCTCAGTTCACACCCTGTGGTTTAGAGCTACCTGTGACACTGTATAACAAAGGTCAATGGACAAATGGGCACTTATTCATTTAAGCTGTTAAAGGAACAGTATTGATCAAATTGTTCTCTAGTGAGCACAAACTGAGCCTGAAATCAGAATCATTATTCGTGACCAGCCAAAGATTTGCTGTCACAGGAGGTCTGCAAAGCTGTGGGCCATGTGAAGGTAGAAAAGTACACGATAGGTGGCCTTAACAGCCCTGGTTTGTTGTCTAATCGTCATTTGTCCACTGAACATGCTAGCTCCCAGCAACACCTATACCCACCTGCTGATCTGCCAGAGGAGATTCTTGCCGGTTTCTTGATGAAATTGGGGGAACTTCTTTCCCGTCAAGGAAGAGCAATAGTGCTCTGATATCTGTCTGTTAGATAGAGCCAGGAGATGGTTAGCTTAGCTTAGCATAAAGAAAAAACAACTTTTTGTCTTTAAACCACTAACTTTGCCACTTAGGAGGAGGAATGCCGTTTTGTGGAGAAACTATGGATGTATGGAACATACTGAAAATAGAGTGATGTCTGGATCTGGTCTGGATCACCATTTGTGACTGCAGCTGTCCTCCACGAGGAAGCAAACTACAAGCCTTTAGAGCCACCTTTCAAGCCCACAGGCTTTGCGTTTACAATGCTCAAAGGTCAAATATCAGTGGATTTGTTTCTTTAAAATAGTTTAATACAGAAATGGCTGCCATGTCACAATAAGTGGCATCATAGGGCACTGTATTTGTTNCCACCCCATCCACCCCATCCACCCCACCCCTCACCCAAACTCCCCTCCCATTTTCAGCCCGGTGCACTCTTTAGCAGAATTATTGATGGCGCTTGTGAGGTACAGAGGACTGGGATGAAGATGTCTCAATCCCTGGGCTGCAAAACAAGAGCTAAGGCAAAGGGTGGGGCAGCAGAAGGAACAACACATGCAGTATTTATTGCTGTGTTCAATATGAGGGGAGAGAGGAAGAAAAATGAAAGTGATCCCTGAAGTGGAGAAACACACAACTCATCCTACACTGCTGCTACTGTATATTAGCAGTGGTAGAAGAGGCAGTCTGCTCCTTTACTAAAGTAGATGTGGCATTAACACATGAAAATATTGAATTACAAGAAGAGTGATCCCCTTAGCGTGCAAGGGTGTGACGTGATCCGTATAGGAATATTGATTCCAGCAGTTTAAGTACAGAAACAAACTTGCACAAAAATTGTTGGAAATATCATCAGTGGATATAAAGTGTGGCGATACTTTATGGTTTTCAGTGAGGATCTGAAGAGAAGTTTCACCTTTTACTTCAAAGTGTTACACTTTTACTGAAAAGAGTGGGAGGAATGTCAGAGGTGCATGCAATAAAAGGTCTGGGTTAGTTTTCACCACAGGATATTCACCTGTGCATGGTACACACTCTACTGACTCACCAGGAAACTGGAAGGAGCTTTCTGTATATTTATTGATTATAAAGGAAATTATAGTACTTTGTTATAAAGGTCAGGGTGCATCATGTGTACTGAAAGCACTGCTTGTAGGTATTTTTGCACTGCATGTTGATGGGTCGCTTCGGGTGTGGAAAAGAAGTTTTATGTGGTTGGAAGAGAGTGGGTGTTTTTTTTTGTTTTTTTTTCTTGTGAAGGTATCCTGTGTCTTCAGTTTCATCATGCTTACAGTACATTACTCGCCTCTTCTGTGCCAACAGATCCATGTCTTCTCTCTATTCCCAGGGTTTACAGTACATCATTACTACCTTATGCACCATGTGTGGATAAAAAAAAAGCAGCACGGTGAGGAAGAAAAGAGTCGTGATTTCAGTAAAATCAACCAAAGAGGTGTTTTGATTATGATTCCCTTTCTCTCAGCTTTTGTTATTGCACCTTTATGTATCTCATCCAAAGAAGACCTGGGTTAATGTAGTGTTTTTTTTTTTTTTCTGAAGCCGCCCTTGACACCTGGTCTTGATTAGAACAAGAGATTACAAATGTTGTGTAGTGTCCTCTTTGCTTCTGTCTCGTTTCCTCACTGAGATTAACATTCCACACCTCGAGACCCTTTTCAATCACCACCACAGAGAGATGACTCTTATACTGGCAGTTAATGAAACTCACTGCTTCCAAGATTCATCAATAAACTCGTAAACACCAGCCTCCTTGATGTTTATTCATAGAATGGGCAGGAGGAAAACATGATTCAAGGCAGACGGACAACACTATGGCCTGCTGTCCCTTTTGATAAGAACATTCCCGTGATCCATGTTTATAGAGTGAATGAGATCATCATTAGAAGGTGACTTTTCATGGTATGGTGTTCATAAAAAAAAAAATTAAAAAAAGATGGTTGATTGAGAAGAGGCAGCTAATCTAAAGCCTCTCTCCATTAGGAGGATTACTGGAAACATATGACAGTTATTGATAAACATTATGTATTTCCAATTAATGATGTTTAAGTTTCACCAACAAAGATGCATTTATTTATGTGTTACTGTGCCATTCGTTCTCTGCCTATTGTGATTTGTTCTCTTTCTCACTGCCTTTTAGCTCTTGTGCGACCCCTGAATGCAGCGCAGCAAGCCTCCCAGATGTCATTCAGTTTATTTTGTTTTTGTGGCCCTCTAGAGGTGCATTTACAACATCACAAAAATAAACCAGTGTACGTGATGTCAATAAATTTCTAAGTTGCTTCATACAGCTGAATAGGAAGAATAAAAATAAACTGAAAGTACAGCGTGTATACAGGTTGTTGTGTGATATTGTGCAGTATGTTACACTTAAAGTATCTGAGAAACAAAAGTGAAAAGTATAAAGAAATCTTTACTCATTCAGTCACAATCTTCCAAAAGAACTCAAACCTGCACCCTTTCAATCTGTCACCCAGCACCCAGTGTTTCATCTCTGCCAGTCACTTCATTGTTGGATCTTGCGTTATTTCTCTGACACAAACAGCTGGGTCACCCTGTTGATGAGCGCTGACATTTCAGATACGGAGACTTCCTTTCATGCCATGAAAAAGCCACAGTTTGTGAAACTGCAGCTGTGACACATGTTCTGATAAGGAGTGGGTGAAGTCTGGTGAATTCCGTCGTAACTAAAGATAAATGACAGGAGAATGGAGAATGGACTGTGACTGCACATTTAAGAAAGCATCTCTGTATTTATGAGTAATAGATAGATGATATTTACTGTATCATATGTTAAATGGTGTATGCTGTGTTTTGTTGGGTGTATTGTAAGTGTTTGGGCTCCATTCCTCTCTGTTACTCAGTTATCTCTGTCTGTTTTTTACATACATGTTGAAGTTTAATAAATTACGATTTTTTTTCCCCCTTTAGTTGTTTTTCAGTCAGTCCACTTCACTTTGACTACAACAAACTTTAACCTCCACTGGAGTCTGACTCAGTTCAGCTGTTGTGATGCATCCACCCGTAGTCACATCATGTACTTACACTTAGTCATACTCCAGCTAAATATAGAGTAAGGGTGTGTGTGGGTCAAGAGTTTTTTTTTCCCTTTTTTGTGAATGCAAAACTGCAATATTAATGATGACAGAACTACAGTTTATTCCTGGTGGCTCTCAAGGTTAGTCATCTTACAGAAAAGTTAAAACAAACAGCGTCAAAGCATCGGACAAAATGTAAAAAATGCAGCAGAAACATATGAAAGACAACCACAAGATATAAAGGTCCACTTAACCACAGAGAAAACATGCACAGATGATCTCTACATCTCTACAGCAGCTTTCAGACACAGACACATTTGTAGAAGTGCCTTACATTAATGTGAGAAAGATAGAGTAGAAAAAAAAAGTACACAGTAAAAAATAGCTCAAGATGTACAGTAACAGAGGAAAGGAGGAGCGTTTCATATATATCTGAAAGTGGTTCAACTTCTGGAACATTTACCGTCAGATCATCAGGAAGTTGGTTTTGTCTGTGTCTGTTTTTTTCTTCAACTTAGCCACCTCTATTTAAAACTCCAACTCAAACAGCAGTGAAATGTCCACAACTTGTCCAAATATTTCCATCAAAACTGTCAGGCTATTTCTTCCTATTTAACAGTTATTTATTTTAATTTATATACAGACATCAGCCAAAGAGCAGCAGCTGTAACTAATAATACCATAGGGAAGAGGAAGCTGGTTGACCAGTAGCCGTTGTCACACACTTTGCAGCACAACTTCCTGCTTGTGCATCTGTGTGTGAGATTGTGGTTCTGATGGTAAGGCAGAGAGAGAGAGAGAGAGAGAGAGAGAGAGAGATAGTTGGTGGATTGGGTAGCAAACGGCTTTGACAGTCACTAACAGCGTTGCAGTTGACAGCAGCAGAGAGCAGAGTAATGGAGCCACAAGAGATCAGAGAGGGATACTTGGTGAAAAAGGTAAGAACTACTCGAAAATACAATTCATCTCCCTGGGTCCCATTTGTAGAGCTTGAACTTGTTCTTGTCAAGTGTAACATTTACAATATTATAGCAGAAATAATATTAAAACTGAGAGCTCCATTGGCACTACAATGAAAGGTATAGATGTTGTGAATTGCCAGAGATACTTAGAGGTTTGGCTTTATAGCAACGCACTCAATAAGTCGTGAAGAAAACACTGACTTCAAAGTGATGCAGTTGCAATAACAAATGTGAGTGACAGAATAAACGGCAGAAGGTGTCATAAAATGTTTAAGTTTTCAAACCATGATGAGACAACTATCACAGTGGTGATGAACAATCACTCACTGTCAGTGCAGGTTTAAGGTTAGTTGATGCATCAGTAACTAAAACTGGGAAAGAAACTACAAACATAAATATCCAAAAACCGTCACGACAACACGGTTTCCTGGACAAACAGGAGAATAAGGTTACTCCACATCTAGAGGAACAGTTGTGAATGTCACATTAAAGTTGCTACATAATACAGAAATACACACTTCTGTTCTACAGCTGCAACATAAACTCCAGTTCCTGCTTCTGCTCAGAGCCTAGAGTAAAACATGAAACGTGTTTTGGATGCACACATTTTTCTAGATCAAGCCCTGTGTGACCTTTTGCTTTTGTTTCATAAAGTGAATTTTAATTCATTACTTCTGTATGCTTATTTATTCTTTTTCATTGAGTTTGTCCTGAAGCACTTTATAAACCCTGTTTCAACACAGGTGCTATGAGTAGCCACAGATGTACAAAATAGTCGTGGTTGAAGGCGTTGTCACAGAACATTTCTTCGTCATAGACAGAGTGGTGGAACAGGCAGAGATATTATGCAAACAGCTGATTAATGGTGTGGCTATTTCCATTCATGACTATGTCAAGAAGAATGCAATGAAACACGAAGCTGAAAGCAAAAATTGGTCAAACAACTAACTTGTCCAGCAGTAAAAGCTCATGTAAAATTAAGAATGGACGAGTGCCAGATACCTCAATTGGTTATTTCATGTAAGCAGATTCTTAAAAAAAATAAACACACTACAACAAGGTTCTATATATTTTTTAATGTCAACAATGAATTGATCAGATCAGTATTTTTTCTGTGTAACCAAACCTTGAAATACAGCTTATTCCTTTGTTGTAGTGCATTGTGGTCCAAATGTGTATCGAGTGGCTGAAAGTAGTCACTAACAAATGCACTATATATTGCTGTTTAAGTATTGTTTGCTAAAAAACTACAGTTCCAAGCTGTTAGGGAAATGACTGTCTTTTTAAAAATGAAAATGAAACTAAATATTTATAACCATTTATAACCAAGGATTACTTCTTCATTTTTTTTTTTACAAATCCATTTGGGGATGTGTGCCATAAACAGGGCAAAGAGGACAGAAAGTACTGAGAAATTAACTAAATCATTGTGGGGTTTGGTATTTTCATGAGATTTTTGAACATTAAAAAGTCCCAATTCATGTTAATGCCTGTGGGAAGAGAAATCAGCACTGTGTGTATTTATGCGTCTGGTTTTTGCATACACAGATTTTTAGTATTGAACCTATATACAATTTTATGCTCCTTCAAAAAACAGAGCTAAACATGGACGGGGATGTTTTAAAGGTCTCAAATATTATACTTTTGTTTTATTTGAAGTTTTGATATCCCTAAAAAGTTATATTTGGGGGTTTAAGTACCCAAAACATCTCAATGTAGTTTTCTGAGTGACGGAATAAAATTATAGCAGGTTTCAGATAAACACTCCAAAGAAACCAAATCCTGCAAAGCTGGATGGTGGGTCCGGATAGGCCAAGCTTGGGACATGGCTGGGAGTGGTGACTGCTTTATTGTGACATCACAACTTTACAAAAGCCCCAATGGCTTGTTTTACAACACAGTTTCTGAATATGGGCTGTGTGCATTTCTCCATGGACTGAGCGCTTCGTTACTTTCACAGTATTAATATAGAACCTAGACCTATTTTATAATAAAAAAAAAGACATGGAAAACTCTATTTATACAATTTGAGACCTTTAAGAATTAACTACATCTCCATATTCCTTACTACTCAAATAAATTATGACTGGTTCAGTATTCTGCTACATAGTGCAGGACATGAATGACAAGAATGACAGCCACAGTCGCTCAAAAATATTAAGATATTCCAACATTGTTCCGTTCCACTTCCCCTGCATAGTTGAATTATTTGAGCACAGCCACAACTCTACACACAGCTTTCCTGTGATGCTTGAAGGGGCGTGTTTGAAGGTTGCTTTGGTAAGACTTTGTTTCTAACATAAGTTATTTAACTTCAAATGTTATAAATTCTCAGGAGCATGCGATGCTGAGAAGACTCACATTGGTCAAAACAACCTTCTCCTGTTCCCTGAGGGAATGAAGGGAGCAGAGGACACTGCAAGCTGAACAGGGCATGAAAGAGTTTGCTCAAAACCAAACCCAGTCAACTGGATCATTTATTTAAAAAGCAAACAAACAACAAAACAAACAAACTCAAACTGGTCAAGAAAGGGGTTGCCAAAGTCAGGGATTTTTTCTTCAGCATATGAATAAACCAGAAGTCTTAACTGTAGATTCATTTCTGCATTTTCACGCCCTAATACATGATCAGCTAAAAAGCATCTACTTTCATTTTTTGGACTGTATGTTGATCTTTCACCTCATGTCAGCAAACTCAGCGTGGGAAACAAAAAAGAATATTTATAGAGCGAAAATCATGTCAAACTAGTAATTAATTAGGCATTTTCATGTTATGTCATCTGAATAAAAAGTTAACTCTCTCTTTATGTGAGACTTTTGTACTGTACTTTTAACGTATCAGTGAGCTTCCATATACACTGCATCGGATTTGGATTGGATTTGAAGGTCACTGTTGAAAGTAAGAAGCGTGATGTATGGCACTATTCATAGTAGTAATATTTGGACACGAGAGACAATGAGGAGGATATCAAAGTAACAGACATGAGGACTTTTGGGGTTTACACAGAGATGTTAAAATAGGAATAAATCAAAAATATTCAGTCAATGTACAACATGCCCTTTGTAGCAACTACTTCCTCGACCAATACTTTTGCTCAAGGCCTGTGGTCACCTGTCTGTATTGTTATTGATCCTCAGGGTACGGTGCTAAACTCCTGGAAGGCAGTGTGGGTGGTGCTGTCAGATGATGGGATGGAATTCTATAAAAAGAAAACAGACCATTCTCCGAAAGGAATGATCCCACTAAAGGGAGCAACACTCCTCACTCCTTGCCAGGACTTTGGCAAGAGGACGGTAAGAAAATTATACCCTATACCTAAAAGTATATGTATCAGAACTAGTATTGAAGAATAATGCTGTGAAAACTCAACACAAAATTTTCAAAATAAAAATTTCTCTCAAAATTGGTTAAATTTAAATTTTCCTCATATTTAGGGGAAAATGTCAAGAGAAAACAGAAACTATAACAGTGTGACTGACTAATAATGCATTAATGCTCCATTTAGCTGGTTTTCAAGATTACGACTGACAAGAAGCAGGACCACTTCTTCCAAGCCTCACATGTGGAGGAGAGAGAGTTTTGGGTCAAGGACATCAAGAGAGCCATTATCTGTCTGCAGGGGGGGAAAAAGTTTGCTAGGAAGTCCACAAGACGCTCCATTCGCCTGCCTGACACAGTAAACCTGACGTATGTTCTGTGACACCTTTTTGGTGGTGGAAATAATAATTTGAGAAGAGCTTTTGATGGATTCATTTTATTCTAGGGATTTACCTTAGCTGAGCCCCACCCTCCTCAGGCCCACATTGTTTGTAGTGACAATAAAGGCATCAGTCCAAATTTTAAGCAATTTGTGAAACAATGTGTCTTTGATTTCAGACTGTTGATTTAGCCAGGGAAACTGTAACTGTTGCTGGCAGGTTTTATCAGCTGTAGTGAGTCAGCCAACTAAGCTAATGTTAAGTAATGTGATTTGGTTGAAAACTCAGTAGCTCATGAGTAACCAGTAAAGGGATCTTAAATATCCACTTGACGGCCAGACACATTAATTATGCTGCCTAGGTTTGCCATGCTTAGTTACAGTTGCTAAGCTGTTATTTTCACAATGGCTGTTTGGGGCAGCGTTTAAGTAAAGGGTCAATTGCTTGTGCTTACTAATAGAGTGATAGTATGGGAAGACATGTTGACAGTGTTCACATTGTGTTTTCCCAGTGAGCTGTACACACTGATGAAAGATCAGGATGATGGAGTGAAAGAGTTAAAACTGGAGCAGGACAATCGAGTCTTCAACCACTGCTTCACTGGTACTGCCATTTTGGTTTTATTGATCTTACACCTGTGGAGGACTTTTTTTTTATTTTTGAATGGTCTCACAATTTTTCACTCCTTCCCTATTTTTGCTCAGGCGCAACAGTGGTCGAGTGGCTGATTTCAAATGAGAAAGCAAGAAACAGGCCTGAGGCCCTGATGTTAGCAACAGGGCTCCTGAATGAAGGTTTTCTCCAGCCTGCAGGGGACCTGGCAAAAGATGGCGCTGAGGCTGGAGAGCAAACAGCCTTCTTAGATCAGACAAAGGCTCTTTACTACTTTGTAAGTTGATGCATGATGCATGTCAAAAAGTTACTATGTGACAAAATATTTTATGGTTATTAGAAATGGAATTTTTTGTGTTTTTTTATGTCTTTTTGCATAAATACAGAGAAAATATCAGTATTAACAAGGTTGGGGATATTCATTCATTCATTCATTCAAAAAAAAAAATAAAAATAAAATAAATATATAATGGAATTTTTTGTGTTTTTTTATGTCTTTTTGCATAAATACAGAGAAAATATCAGTATTAACAAGGTTGGGGATATTCATTCATTCATTCATTCAAAAAAAAAAAATAAAAATAAAATAAATAT